CCCTACACTCTAGCCTCATTGAATCTTCCAGAAGCCGTGTGGTCATTTGCTTATAAGTTTTGTATTTAGGCCTGTGAACCATTTTGAATTTTTGTCTATTATGTGAGCCTTGTTTTTTATCGTGTGGAGATCTAATTGTGTTCATTTAGCTACTCTTTGGTTCGACAGTTCTAATGGCTCCCGTTACATAAGTATTGTGCCAGGCTGTCTCAGCTTGACATTCAGATGTCTCTTGAGTTGGGCCACAGCCTGCTCATCCAGCTGTACCTTTTCTCTGTGGACTTCTCCTGGAGAACCAGAGTCTAGGTTATTTATTTAAGGGTCCAGAGCGCCTGGGGGACATGTGCCTCCCATGTCTCAGCTGCCTCAGCTACTCTCTCCAGCATGCTCTTCCCGCGTCTGCCAGCCTCGGCTACACATTCCCTAATTCAGAGGCACTCCCAGAGGTCCCCTTCCACCAGCCCTTCACTCCCTACCTAATCCAAGCCTTCCCTCTCCATATGAATTGATTTCTGTTTAGTATTGGTGTTTTCCCTTCAGATTGTTTGGGCTGCCATAACAGAACACCATAGGCCAGGTGGCGTATGAACAACAGAAAGGTATTTCTCACTCACAGTTCTGGAGACTGGAAGTCCCAGAACAGGTGGCCAGCATGGTTGTGCTCTGGTGAGCCCCTTTGGGGTTGCAAACAGCTGACTTGGTGTGTCTTCACACAGTGGAGAGCAGAGAGGGAGAGAATTAGAGCACTAATCCCATTCCTGAGGCTATACATTCATTACCTAATTACCTCCTAGAGGTCTCACTAGGGATTCGAATTTCAGCAGATGATTTTGAGGGAATGCAAACATTCCATTCATAACTGTACAACTGAATGACATGTTTCTATAGAGCAGGGAGGGAGGTTCTTCTTGTGATAAACAGGCTGGGTCTCGCTATGCCGTGTGTTGACATAAAATGGTAATGATGGGATGCTGGGGTGGACGGGTTGCGGTTGGAGGTTGTGGGAGCTATGAGTCATTAGCCAGAGGCAGAAGAGTTGGTGGTCTGGTCATCCGAACTTGCTCCTTCTCTCGACGCATATCCGGGAGACACACGCGGTCCTCAGCGTTTTTCAGCCAGGAGAGAAGACGACTTTGAAATGGAAAGAGAAGTCTCTCTCTCTGTTCATGCACAGATAGGACATCCTTAGGGAAACTCCCGCTCTGGCCTCTGGACCTAGGCTGGCTGAGGGCCCTGGATGAAGGGCGAGCACTTCAGAGCTGTGGCAGGGAAAGCCTTCAGGTAGAATGCAGACCTGAGTCCAAGTCAGAACTTCCAGGTTCCAGAGACCGGAAGTCTTGAGAGAAGAGTGTGGGAGCCATCTGCCGGGTCCCTGAAAGTTGCTGTCATCCTAGAGGAAGGATCTTTGGGATCTAATGGCCATACATCTTTCTCATCCCAGGACTTGGGAATAGCAACAGCTCTGAGGGGTTGGGCGTAAGGTGTAGGGCTGACCTGGGCTCCCTTCTGGAGTTGGGATGAAGAGTTTAGTTTCTGGAGGGAGTGACTGAAATACAGCTCAGAGCCCTACAAGCCCGAGCACCTTCAAGTGGCTTCTGTGCCACATGGCCCCAAGGCTAGGCCAGAACCAGGCTCAGAAAACTCATACCTCAGGAGCCTTACCTGCCAAGGGACATTTTGACTAAACACCAGCTTATAAGGATCTGAACCGTGTTCTCTAAACTTGCTTTTGTCGGCTGTGTTGTGTATGTTTTGTGTATTGTGCTGTGTTTCGTGTGCCCTTTGCTTTTCAGTAAATATCCCTCTCTGGAGAATTCCAGCCTGATCTCTGCTGACCTGGAGGGGTGGTGGTGTTTTTCCACACACGCGTCTGGGTCAGCAGGGAGGAGGCGTCCACGAGGAGCACGGGGGAGGTGGCTGATGCTTGCCAGCTGGTGTGCTGGGCAGTCAGGGGACTGTGGTGTTGTAGCCAAGACAGTGGGCGCCTAGGGAGGACAGGGTTGGGACCCGCTGTGGACACTGACCCTGCCGGGCCAGGCACCTTACCCCCTGTCATTCCCCAGAGTAGCTAGAGCTGTGTGGGGGCACGGTGGGCCAGCGAGCCCTTAGCTCATTGGAGCTGACCTCTGGGGAGTGGTCAACTCAGGCTTCTCCGTGGAGGAGTGCCCCGTGTCCCAGACTTGACCTGACCGTGCTTGCCAAAGCGAAGCCCAGCACCCTCGTGGACCCTTCCTCTCAGTGTCCCCGCTGCTCCAGCACACACAACACAGCTCTGTCCATCCTGACGGCATGTGCAGTGTGGCCGTTCAGTGATTCACTGTCTGTAGGGGACACACCCCAACCCGGGCCAGCCAAGCTTTGGGCTTTGAGGACATCAGAGGGCCTGACCAGTAATGTGTGGCTGGCTACATGTGGGTGTCCTCCGCGTTTGTTTGCCCGCAGCTAGTGTGTTTCCTAAGTGACACTGGGAGACTCCCTGCTTGGGGTCCAGGAGGAGGGGAAGCTGGGTGGGACTTGATGACCGGTACCCACCAGGGCCTGAGCTCAGTGTGCTCGTCTCTCCCCACAGCTTGTCTCCAACGTCCTCATCTTCTCCTGCACCAACATCGTGGGCGTCTGCACCCACTACCCTGCCGAAGTCTCCCAGAGACAGGCCTTCCAGGAGACCCGGGAATGCATCCAGGCAAGACTCCACTCACAGCGGGAGAACCAGCAGCAGGTGAGTCAGAGTCAGACCCTCCTGCCCTGGTCCTGCCAGGAGGCCTGGCCCCACCTCAAGGCTCTGCCCTGCCCCCTCCCTGGTGGGGCCCAGCCCTGGGGGGATGTTTCCAGCATTCCTGGCTCTGTGGGAGTCCTGTTGGAGGGAACTACCCCTGCCTTGACCCACATGTGTCCCTGTGGTTTTGCAAACAAGCCAGCAAGAGATGGCTCCACCTCCTCTCCAGCCCAGCCCCCCAGGAGTCCGAGGGTGAGAGCAGTCAGCTGCCCACTGGGACTAGGGCACACCCCCACGGGGATGAGGCAGCTGAGAGGACACAGGAGCTGTCAGCCTCCCAGCATCCCACTCTGCTCTCCCTCTCTGCACAGTTCTGGGGTTTGACCTTCTCTCTGGGGAGACCTGCTTGGGCCGGAGGAGGCAGACCATTCATAGCCCAGTGTGCCCAGAGGCCTGCCCCATGAACCTCTGTTGGGTAAGGACGAGGTAGCAGAGCTGCATCAGGGTTCCAGCCATTCCCATCCTGGAGCAATGCCTGCTTGGTTTAGATCTGGCTCACCACTCTCCTTTCCTGTGTGTGAACCAGACAGAGGTCTGGAAACTGAGACTGGAGGGAGCTGCACAGCCTCAGAAGGATGTGGGAGGGCACAGGGGAGAGAGTGGGCAGGTCAGCGGTGCGAGCGCCCACTGGACATGCAGCCGTCGTGGCTCTTCTGACAGCCCTCCTGCCCTCTCACGTAGTGTCTCCACGGTCCTCAGCAAACGGCAGTGAGCCCTACTCTGTGTACATGCCAGGGAGGCCCGTGGAAGGTGTGGGCGTGGAGGGTCTCCCTGCAAGCCTGGGGACAGAGCAGTCACACGGCCTCCTGGCCAGCCTGGAGCACATGCCTCCTTGAGTGCAGAATGGGTTTGCCACATTGGGAGGCATCTCTGACACCTTCTGGATGCATCTCAGAGGTGCGGTGACACAGCTGGGAGCACCCAGACAGCTGAGTGACGGGGAGAGTGCGCAGTGTCTCCCCAGCCCTCCCTAGTCACCACCTGTCCCTGCTTTCCTTCCAGCGCTGCATCCGCCTTGCCACGCCCCCACTTAGACTGGCCAGCCTGAGGCTTGGCTTGACTTTCCCAGCACTTTTTGGCCCTTTCTGGGCCCCTGGCTCCGCAGTGTCCCTGGAACTGTGTTGACAAGCTTGCCTTACCTTTGTCACACCATACCCTGCTCATGCCCAGAGCCCTGGCATTCCTCCGAAGCCCCCATCTCGTCTCCATTCTAGGCCCAGCATGTGGCACCTGAGGTCAGGGTCTTCCCTTCCCCTGAAATCTACCTCACCATGAGCCTGAGGCCCCTTCGCCAGGGTAGCTACTTTTTTTGTGGGAGGGTTGCCATAGGGCACATGCATTCACCAGAGAGAGAGAGGGAGAGAGTGAGATATCACCCCCAACACACACACACAGAGGGATGGCCATGCCGCAATCCCTTCTCCTCCATCCTCCTCCTGGGATTTTGGGCACACACACACATACGTACCTGACATGAATTTCAAGCCACTGGGTCCGGGATTCAAATGGTGGTTGACCATGTGGGAATCCAGTGCCTTCACCACCACCCCACCTGTGTCCTAGTAACAGCTTATAACTGACATTTGGCAGCTCTTCATGGTCACTGTGGCCCCGGCCAGGTGGAGATTCTTCCAAATCCACAGGGGTCTGGGGAGAAAGTGTTGGCCAAGGCACTGAGGAGGGAAAGCTTGCCTCCTGGGGCCGGGCCCTTCCCCAGCCAGCCAGGGCCAGCAAGCTGTGCAGAGAGAGCTGCTCAGGGTCCCTGGGGAGCTGCCTGCTGAGGGGACTCAGAGCTGTCCCCTTCACTCCCCACGGCCCCTCCTGGCCCTCCACCCTAGGAGCAGTTACAAGGGGAGTTCTCATCAGTCTCAACTCTTTGTCCCGGTTGTCCTGTGTTCCACAGAATTCTCCTTTAGTTCACGTTTCTCAGTAACTATTTATTGAGAGCTTCGTAAATACGAGATGGCCTTCCATGGGCACGTTTAACGATGCTTGGCCAGATCAGACAGACCCGCTGAGAGCTCCATCCGCTAATTCACCAGTTTCCCGAGCATCAGGCTTTGGGCTTGGGACCAGCAGTTGGCGTGCCCAAAATCCCGAGGAGAATGGAGGAGAAGGGATTGTGGCGTGACCATCCCCCTGGGGCGGTGATTTCTCACTTTCTGTCTTTGTCTCTCTCTGTCTTTTTGGTGAGCACAAGCACCCTATAGCAAAAACGTCTCAAAAAAAAAAAAAGGCTCTGGGCTGTGGCTTTGGACAAGACACAGCTCCTGTCCCCAAAGAGGATGTTCTTTGTGCCCTTGAAGGGAACTGGGGTTAGCAGGAGAACCAGGGGCTCCATCAAAGAAGGCCCAGGGTGGGCGGAAATGCTGGCAGTCAGAGCTGGCCCTTCTCCTGGGAAGAAGGCGAGCCTGAAGGAGGGTTGGGAGCAGCGTGTGAGGACAGCGATTCTCGCCGGGGTGCTTGTGTGCAAAGGCAAGACGAGCTCCCAGAACTTGGGGAACTTTCCACAGCCACTCTAACTGGAGTAGAACCCAGTGTAGGGGAGGGGAGGATGTGGGAGGGTGGGATGTGGCCAGGCTGGGGCACGGGCGGATCCTGAGGGCTTGGGGAGGTATAGGAGGTGATGCAGTGTGGTGTGTGTCTTAGAGAAGTCGCTCACCCCTCGCACCAGGGAGCGTGGGTCAGAGGTGGCCAGCTTGGTGACAGGGACATGGACTCGGAGGCTGCCCAGCCACCCAGGCTGGACTGCAGATGGCCTGGACCTGCTGGTGGCTGAGGTTGGGTGGGAAGACGATGCTTCAGCAAGGAGAATGGCAGCCAGGCTGGGGCTGGTGGGAGCGTGCCAGGAGAGGGCAAGGCACAGGATAGGGGCAGGTGGCCAAGGATGTTAGGGTACAGCGGGGAGAAAGGAAGTGTGGACTCACTGGGTCTGGAAATATCCCTGCTCATGTGGCTGGTGGAACCAGGGAGCCCATGGAGGTGCCGGCAGAGGAGTGATGTGACAGGTCGTGCTGTGCAGGCAGCAGGAAGGGCTGAGAGGAGGCTGTGTGGCCAGGGCAGGGCACCCAGGATCCCAGAGTCAGGGAGCGACTGCACTCGGGCAGCAGAGGGGGCATAGACAGGAAGGTCACAGAGCTGTTTCCAGATCAGCAGGACTTGACCAGTGCTGGACAGGGTCTGGGACCGAGGGGAGAAGACTGAGTCTCAGAGGGAAAGTTCTGAGAAATACAAGTAGTTTATACACACGTTTGTGTGTGTACCCAGCATATTTCAGACTGACCCTGCTGGGGACTCGAACTACAGTCACCATATCGGGACCTGACTTCTCTTGAGCAGTGCATCAAGCCCCGTGGAGGCTATTCTTTTCAGGTTCCCTGTCTTTGCTCTCCCATACCAAGGTCAAGACCCTGCCGGGCACACACACACAGATACCCAGGATCCAATGGGCTAGAAGACTAGAGGGAGGGGGATCGTGGTGTGACCGGATCCCGTGGTGTGTGCCCATGACCCACCTCACTCACTCACATGTGCACGCACATGCTCTGTCATGAGTAAAAGGGGAGGAGAAGAGCCACTGGGGAATGCCAGTGTGGGAAGCGAGAATGGTGGGGGTGTGATGTCAGGGAGGTGGCCAACACCCAGGTGGGCAGCTGGAGACCGAGGAGCCTGGGCAGGAGAGAGGATGCCGGGCTGACAGCCAGCGCTCACGGCCGTGCAGATCTTGCTGTGGATTTGCTCCTAGAGGACAGGAGTGAACGGGGAGAGGACGCAGGTAGGGAGGGGCCTGTGTTTGGGGTGAGGAAGAGGGAGAGGGGCCAGAAGAGACACCGAAGAGAGTCTCTGGGTCTCACAGAGGGTGACCCCACATCCAGCAATGGGGAGAATATGGAACGAAGGAGGCAGCTGAAATGAAGGTCCTAGATGAGAGAATGACATGAGCCAGCTTGGCAGAGGCTGGCATGGACAGCGGGCCGTAGAGGGCAGAGCTGGACACCGGAGAGCAGGCAGGCCTGGGAGGAGAACTGGGAAAGGGGCAAAGTCTAGACCCTATAGCAGACTGACGGGACCCTCCACGATGCAGCCTCTCACCAGCTTTCCTCCTAGCCCCCTTTGACTGGTTTTGGCATCTCTTGGCTTCTCAAAGTGGCCTTGCTTCTCCCTGGGCCAAGGTCCCCATGTGGAACCAAGACCCCTCTTCTTATCTCCAGGAAGCCTTCTCTGACCACACACGTCTCCCCTCCCAGTACCCCCATTCCCTCATGAGACCAGAAGCTTTGGGAAAGAGGAACCTCGCCCAAGGCCCTCCAGCCTGGAACAGGAAAGCCAGGGCACCCTGTATCGCTCAGGGTCATAACTCCTAGCTTCCAGCTGAGGCCTGGAACGTGGTGTCTGCTCAGTCAGTGCTCGATGGCTGAAATCCCGCTGAAATGCCAGCACCTTCAGCTCTGTGGTACAGATGGGGAACTGGAGGCTCAGAGAGGTTCAGCTGTTTGCTCAAGGTCACACTGCATTTCAGGTGACACTCAGGACGCTGACCCAAGGTGCTCTGTACTCACGGGTGCACAGGAGTGCTTTTCCCCGTGCAGCATGGCAGTAGGCCAGGTAGAAATCTAGGAGGTGTCCCAGGGAGATGGGGCCAGGAAGCCCCAGGGCCATGACTCCAGCCTCCGCACACCCAGGATTAGCCCCGAGTCTCAGGAGTGCCTAGGAGGTGGTCCAGGGCCTGTGGGCAGCAGGGATAGCGGGGCAGGAGGATATAGGTGTGTAGGAGGGAGGACCTGCCAGGCCGGTGGAAAGACATTGTCTGTTCACAATTAACATTCTTTACTCTCTATGGATGGGATTGAATGTTACTTAATTTCCTCCCCCCCAAAACTGAAGTCTTTAATATAGTTCTGAGGAGTCGGGTTAACCTATTCAAAGGTGTTAGGTGCATACCAAAATAGAAAGATGTTTAAAATTATGAATATTCCAAGAAATATAAGTTCCTGGACTTAAAATGATTCTTATATGACTAACAACTCCTTCAGCTGAGACTGACTGCCAGTTTCCTTCCATCCAAAGGTCACCAGAGTGACTAGAGTTGTGCTCTATGAGGAGCAGGCATCACTAGATGGCAGTTTGACATGCCAGGCTGAATCCTCTCCTTGAGCAGGGGCTAGTTTACAATAAAGTGATTGGAAGAGCTGACCTAAATTCAGTGCAAAGCTTTTTTTTTAAAAGGGGGAAAAAATGTGTGTGTGTGTGTGTGTGTGTGTTTGTGTGTGTGACCATAGCCTCTGCTTCCCTCCCAGGAGCGGCTCCTGCTGTCTGTCCTTCCCCGTCACGTTGCCATGGAGATGAAAGCAGACATCAACGCCAAGCAGGAGGATATGATGTTCCATAAGATTTACATCCAGAAGCATGACAACGTGAGGTAGGGGTTGGGAGGAGTGGGTGAGGGCAGGAGGAAGAACCGGGTCCCAAAGGAGACCTCCCCACTTCCTTCCTTTCAAGTGGGCACAGCCTAACGACGTAGCCTGGTAGCTCTGGAAAGCATGCTGTCTGGAGCACGCAGCCTTGCCCCCTGGTCTGCCGAGTTATTGTCATTGTGTCTTGCGTAGCTTTCTTTGGGAGGGTGGGAAAGAGGAGAGTGAGGCTGCAGGGAGAGGATAAAAGAGACGAGAAGAGGAGCCGAACCAGCTGGTGGGGCCACTCCTAGCCTAACGAGGGCGATGGAAAGCATAGACCTGGGACCTAAATGCCGTTTTTGTCACCACACTCTTTGCGGCCATCGATGCCCCCCCCAGCCGCCATGCCTTCGAACCTAGTGCTCACCCAGCACTGTGCAGGCCTTGTCTGTCTTAGCACTAATCCTCCGACGACCTGCAGGGCGGGCACCCTTATCAGCACCCTGTTTCTAGGCGGGGCTCAGAAGGCCTAAGATCCTTGCCCAAGGTCCTCCAGCCTGGAGCAGGAAAGCCAGGGTGCCCCACGTCGGCCTGCTGGGAAGCCGATTCCTCTCACTGCATGTTTGCTGCCTCCCTAGACAGAAGCTGCTGACAGCAGGGACATGCACACGGATGCAGATTAATAGAGTGCAAAATCTGCTCATGAGTTCCACAGAGACATGGAGTGATACTGTGGCCTTCATCCAGCATGGCTTCCTGGAAGAGCCTAAAACCTCCCATACGCCCAGAAAAGGAGCCTCTGTGTTTGCCTCTGAGAGAGCGCCTATCTCCCTGGGCACATTTTCCTAAGACCCATAAGTCTTCTAAGCTTGGTGTGAAGAGAATGCTTTGGAAGCTTTGGCTGAAAGAGATTAAGTGGAATAATGCACATTATGACACACACACGCACACACACACTTTAGAGGAGTCTGATGGCCATGGGGGTGAAGGGGAGTATTGTTGTGTTCATGTGGAGCAAGCACTACCACCCAGTCCCCCAACACGCCTGAGACCCACCTCAGTCAATTCTGCATGTGTGTCCTCCCTTCATCTCTAAAAACCAAGACTTGAAGGACTTTAGGAAAAATGTGTACCTGCGCAGCACACTTGTCCTCAATTTTGTGAAGCTCACCCATACTCCAGGGTCAGGCAGACACTGTGCAGCCAGCAGCAGCCTTGGGCTCTCAGGAGGAAGGGCTGGCTGGATCCCCACGTCCTGAGGGGGCTGCAGGCCCAGCGGCACCGAGCTCAGGGAGAGAAGTGGCGCCTGCAGGTTGAGTGCCCTTCGTTAGCCCAGATGTGCTGGCTTCCTGCTGCTGTCCCCCCTGGGGTGGAACCATCACGGCCCAGCTAGTTCACACTAACGTGTATATGAGTGTGTGTGTGAGTGTGTGTGTATGAGTGTGTGTGGTGTGTGTATGAGTGCATAGGTGTATGAGTGTGTGTATGTGTATGTGTGCGTATGAGTGTGCATGTGCGTGTGGTGTATGAGTGCTGTGAGTGCATGTGTATATGAGTGTGTGTATGAGTGTGTGAGTGTGCGTGTGTGTGTATGTGTGTGGTATGTGTATGAGTGTGTGAGTGTGCGTGTGTGTGTATGTGTGTGGTATGTGTATGAGTGCTGTGAGTGCATGTGTGTATGAGTGTGTGGTGTGTGTATGAGTGCTGTGAGTGCATATGTATATGAGTGTATGTGTATGTGTATAAGTGTGTGTGTATGAGTGCTGTGAGTGCATGTGTATATGAGTGTGTGTATGAGTGTGTGAGTGTGCATGTGTGTGTATGTGTGTGGTATGTGTATGAGTGCTGTGAGTGCATGTGTGTATGAGTGTGTGTGTGAGTGTGCATGTGTGTGTATGTGTGTGGTATGTGTATGAGTGCTGTGAGTGCATGTGT